TCCACCTGGGCCCTTACGAGAAGCATCCTGACCATCTGCGAGCCCCAGTTCAGCTGGCCAGGGCCCTGGGCGAGTGTCTCAGAACGGGCCTGACCACGCGCTCCACACACAGTAGGTGCTCGGGCAGCCGGCCGGGCCCACCTGCCTGCCCCCGGGGCCCACCTGCGGACGAGGGCCGGTCCTCCCACACGCGGTTGGTGAGTGGGGTCCGGCGGTTGCAGTCTCCCTCCGAATGCACTGAGGAGACGGAGGGTGGCCGGTCCCCAGATGCCAGGCCTGGGGCCGGGGACTTGGCTTTTCGGCTGCTGGGTCTGCCAGAGACCTTGGCCTTCCCGCCACCACCTGCAGGGGGACACATGGGAAGGGGCCGAGTTGGACTGAGGACAGCGCTCGCACTGTAGGGGTGGGGGTGGGTGGGTGGGTGAGGGCCTGGACCCCCGTTTCCCGGGCCCCCCAGGGAGGGGGAACAGCAGCCCAGCCCCCTGGGAAGCCAAGGAGGCCGACCAGATGGCCAGACCCAGCCAGGAGCCTGGATTTGGAGGGGGTTTCTACTAGGGGAGTGGGTAGAACCACTTGCAAGGCCCCGTCAGGCTGCCCTGAGGCCCCCTACCCACCAGGGGCTAATACCTCAAGCATGGAGCCTCAGGCCTCTGGTTTGACCCTGACCACTGCCCAAGGACTGTGCCGGGGCTGGGCAGGCTGCAGGCCCTCTGCAGAGAAGCCAGGGTCCCTGAGGCCAGGCCTGGGCCCTCATTAAGTCCAGAAACTTCCCGGGGCCACAGTGTCCAGGTCAGAAAAATGGCTCAAGAACTCTCTGCCTGGCCCTTGCTCTGATATGCAGAGTGTTGATTAGGGACCCAGGGCAGAGGGCGAGCCAGCCCGTCTGGTCTCCCTGATTCATCTGAGTTTGGATCTGGCACACAGATGCTGGTCTCCACCCCATCAGCCCCGAGGGCCAGCCGTGAACATGCTTGGTGGCCGCAGCAGACACTGGGCCCACTGGCCTGGCTGCCGTGAGCCCAAGGGTCCCCCCTGATCCACACAGAGAAGGTGGGTCCTCACTCCAGCCTGATCTCCCCCAAGGAGACACAAGCTGGGCCAGGACGTGGGCATCCCGGGACGAATGCCCAGCCGGGGAGGGAGGCAGGGCAGGGCTCGGGCAGCGGCGTTGAGTGTTTTTAGAAAAGCGGCAGCTCCTTCGGGCCCAGCGGGCGAGGGCGGGCCGGGGCCACGCAGACACCTGGGGGGGTGTCCGCCCAGCTCGGGGTTACCCAACTCCAGGACCACGTCAAACACGCACAAAAATAGAGTCACAAGCTCCAAAGCTGGAGGGGGGTTGGTCAGAGGAACGCGGAGGGAGGCGGGAGGATTAATGACACCGGGGTGGGACAGACGGGGTGGAGGAGGCCTGCAGACCTGGCGAGGTGAGCGCGTGTTCCCTCCGTCCGTCAGCAGCGGTTACGGGCATAGCAGCGGGCAGGCTGGCACTGGCATTCAGAGGGTTAAAAGCATTGGCGCTGAGCGGGTGCTCCTCCCACTGATCATATTTACCCATGAGCGCCTTTCTAATAATGGCCTCCAGCCCCATGTTGGTGCTGGCATGCTCCTGCACCGCCTGGCTTCTGCAGGTCATGAGGCCTGGGAGAGAGACACACACACAAAGGGGGCCGCAGGGGCCAGAGGGACAAGGGGGAGAGAGGGAGAGAGAAGCAGAGAGGGAGAGAGGGAGGGGAAGAAAGAATACACAGTGAGCACATTTTGGCAAAGCAACGATTCTTGATTCCCCTAGCTTCCCCCCGTGTTTCCGCTGCAGGGTGATGGGGGCGGACGGCTCCCTCTGACTCGGGCCCTGGAAGCCCTCAGGAATTCCCGGTGGGGGAAGAGGTGCGCTCGGGGTGGTCAGATGACCGCCCCCCAAGCCTCATTCCTACTCTGCCCTCGGGGAAATCAGAAGCCCCTTCTGGATCCCTAACCCCCAGCTGGGGCTGCTTCTTTTTTTAAAAAAATCTAGTGGCCTTAAAAAGGAGCGGGGAGCGGGATCAGGGGGTCCCCTTATTTGGGGGAAGGGCTGCTGGAAAGCTAAGTCAAGCCAGAGCTCAGTGCTGGGCGCTGGGGGGTCCACCCTGGTTCCCGGGGGCTGCTGGGAGGAATGGAGGGGAGGTGACCAGACGGCCCTCCGGCCGCCCCTGCCTGCGAGGCCTAGGACCCTCAAGCCCCCCCTGCTGCCCCCGCAGCTGGGCCTAACTCTCCTTCCGCCCCCTCTCCCCGCCCGGGAGCCACAAGGAGAAAGAGGTGCAGAGACGGACGGTGGAGAGGGGGGTCGCAGCCATGCAGTTACGGTGCGTGCGGGGGGTCAGGGCAGAGCTGGAAACAATCACATGGCCGCCCCCGGCCCGGCCACCCGGCACGAAGTGGTCCGATCAACAACTGTCCCTCACGAATCCTTCCGGACACCCACTTCAAAGTCACGCCAGTTATGCCTCTTCTTTCTCTTTTTTCTGGCCCTCTCTTGTTTGCTTGTGAACCATTCATTCTGGGGACGTTTGCAAACCCTGGGGAATGTGCCTCTTTTGGGCATTTTTGTTAAACCAGACTTTGCTTCCAAAAACCTCCGACGAAGCTCTCTGCCTGCCACTGGGCAAAATTTTCATGGATTTTAAAACTTTCACTGCAAGTCAATTGTATGATTACCAAGTGGCCGAATTAACGGGTCTTGCTGACCCCTAACTCGTCTGTAAACTGGACCGATGGTTACTGGGAGGCTCGGAGCAACAAGGCAGCATCTAAAATCACATTTCTAAAGCAACGATTTGCTGTCTACGTTTTCATTTTCTTTTCTTCCTTTTAGTTTCAAACTCATTCACAGCCACAGGGACCCCCTGACAGGCTTTCAGCTGCGTCTTGGCCATGCTTCGTCAGCACTTAAAAAAAGTCATGTCGGTCAAGGAAAAGCAAACTTTCCAGCGGGGGTGAGTGGGGCGGGGAGGGGGGAGAGGCATTTATGATCCTACAAACTAAGACACTGGGAAGTGGAAAAAAAAAAAGATGCGAGGGATACAGGTCGTGATGGTTCCTTGGTAGGTTAGCATCCTATGATCACAGACGTTACTGAACCTGCCACCCAAGGTCACGGGTCCATGGTCGGTCAGTGTGAGGCAGGAAGCTGACCGTCTCCAGTCCTAAAGCAGGAGCTAATTAAGCAGCAGAGACCGGGGTCTGGGGAAATTCTGTGTGTGTGGCCTAAACTGCTGTGACAAAAAGTTGAATCTAATTTATATACAAGTTCCTTGTACCACATGAATTTCTACACACACCCGCACCTGTGTCGGTGTATGAGCATCTCTGAAATGAAAACATGAAGACATTCATTTCCGTCCATCTTGTTGTTTTGACCGAATTATCTCCTCCCCATTGCCCGAGGCTCAGCCAAGCCCCCAGCGTCGAGTCTCTGAGTGGGTGGACATTCCCCAGTTGGGACCCCCATTTAGAGGCCCCGTGGCACCCCGATAAAATCCAATGGCTGCCTTTTGCTCACCACATTCCCAGAGCTGTGACAGCCCTCAGGGAAGGTCAGCACATCCCCCCAAAGACGCCTCGTTCCTCCCCATACCGGGCAGGCCTCTGGCGGAGGGTCAGCCCTGTAGGCTCTGGCTCAGCCGCCTCACACCAGACACCAGGTGCTTCCCCAAAGCCCCATCCCAGTCCTTCTACAGAGGCAGCAGAAATGCACAGTGTAACCCCACAGGCTCCAAAACATCATAGAAGGCTTAAGTTTCAGTGTAAAAATGTGTGTGAGGGCTTCCCTGGTGGTGCAGTGGTGGTTGAGAATCCGCCTGCCAATGCGGGCGACATGGGCTCGAGCCCTAGTCCGGGAAGATCCCACATGCCACGGAGCAACTAAGCCCGTGCGCCACAACTACTGAGCCTGCGCTCTAGAGCCCGCGAGCCACAACTACTGAGCTCGCGTGCTGCAACTACTGAAGCCCACGCGCCTAGAGCCCGTGCTCCGCAACAAGAAGCCACCGCAATGAGAAGCTCGTGCACGGCAACAAAAAGTAGCCCCGCTCGCCGCAACTACAGAAAGCCCGTGTGCGGCAACGAAGACCGAACACAGTCAAAAATAAATAAATACAATAAATTTATATTTAAAAAAATGTGTGTGAATTTTACACTCTGGAATACATCTGCACTGTTTCCCCAGCTCCCTGGATGGAATTTTCCAGTAAAACCGATGCTCCACCTATAAAAAATGCCCACGTGGACCACGTGCACACACAGACCCACTCCACACACTCACGTCTCCATCCGAGATCCCAACAGACAGGTTCTGGGTAGTTGTGTGTGATTCTAGTACTGTACTACACGTACCAGAAGGCCTTGGAATTGAACTCCAAATAGACACTCCTTGCCAGACCCCGCCGGCCTTTTGTGTGTGTCTGCATCCCCACCGCAGAGGAGGGGGACACACTTGAACTGTGACAGGCCACCTGTCACCATGGCTACGGCTGATGTGAGGCCCAGTGACCTCCGAGGCCTCACTCCCAAGTCTCCTTCCAAGTCCACACACCCAGCTTGACCTCCCTGTGTGCACAGTGACGGGGGAGGGGGAGGGAGGGGACGGGCTGTCGGCCGAGCAGCCCAGGGTGACCGGGTTACCTGCTCCGGTGATGGCAGGCATGTTGAAGATCTCCGTCCCGGGCTGGCCAATATCTGGAGGAGGACGACGAGACGGGTGAGGCCTACAGGTCCCGGAAAGCACCTGCCCCCCTATGTCCCCTGTCTGGTCTCGGCAAGGTGCGCCACCTGCGAGCTTGCGCAATGCAGACAGATTTAGCAGGGCTGGGGCAGGGCCTGAGAGTCGGCATTTCGAGCCAGCTCGCTGAGGCTGCTGACCTACTGGCCCAGGCACAACACTTGGCAAGGTTCTGGACTTACCAGCCTGGGCCAGTGACTGTCTGCAAGGCTGCGACTCCAGCCCCAGAAAGAGAAAAGCCTCTGCAAGGTCCCCAAGCTCCCCACGCTAATGAGCTTTCTGAGGCCGGGGATGTGATGTTCCTTCATTCATTGGTTCACCCACTCATGTGTTCTCTTGAGCAGCTGCTATGTGCCAGGCACTGTGCTGAGAGGGTAGAGCTAAGCTAGGATTTACGTCCAGTAACCACATAAATGGGGAAAACAAATCACAGATGTGAGGCGCATCGCACATGGGGTACACACGAGGTCCTTGTAAGGGCGTGACCCCGATCTCTGGCGCCCAGTATGAACTGACCCGTGCATGCCAATATCCCGAGTGGCCCCTGTGTGCCGGGCATCATGCTGTGACAACCCAGCAAATGCCTATGGGAAAAAGAGGGACAACACGGGCTCCCTGAATGTGAGGTGACGGGCCAGTGGAAGAGGTGGTCGGCGGGGCCACCCGGCTGTGCTCACGCCCAGCCCCCGGTAGCCCCGCCCCCCAGGGAGGGCGGGCCCCTTACTGTATTCTGGCTCGTTGCGGTTGTGGGTGTTTAGTTTCTTGTTGATCTCCTGTTTCTTAGATTTGACCATGGCCGAGTTGCTCTCGGTCAGCTTGCTGAAGAAGGCCGGCGGCTGGCTGGTGTTGCCTGGGGATTTGGAGCCCATCCTGCTGCGAGGAGCAGACCCCCCGGGTCAGTTCACTTGCTGCTGGGCTTGCACACCCTTGATGACGGGGTGCTCACCACCTGAGCTGCCTTAGAAATTCAGAATGAAGTTTCTCCCACCTCGTGCTTGCTTCCCCCACTTCTTAGGGCCCATGTCTTCCGAAATCCCCTCTGTCATCCACCTATCCTTGGGCTCAGGGCGTCTCTGCAGAGCCCCAGCTGCCCCGGTGGGCCACGCCTGTCTACCTGCAATAGCCGGACTCCCAGAAAAGAGCCTCGGGAGCCAAAGTGGGCTCAGACCACGTCTTCCCCTGAGGTCAGGGGGCCCTTTCTCTCCACCTCCACCGCCCCCCCCCCCCCCCGC